CCAGTTCAGGGAGTCCAGGTGGTTGAGTATCACAATGTTCCATCTCATTTCCCTTTGGGCTTGTTTTAGGTGATCTGGAAGTCTGGTTTTGAAGTTTGTTTATGTGTCTTCTCATTTCATCAAGGGGGTGATGCTGCTGGCCCCCCTGTGGCTCACCTCTTGTGTGCTGGTGTGTGTGGGGTAATGGCAGCCCAGAAGGCCCCTCTTGTGTGCTGTGAGTGGCTTACCTCCTCTGTGCTCGCAGGGGTGGTACGGTGGCCTGGAAGCCTCCTCTCTGCATATTTACTTCTTATATCTTTATTTATGAGAGTTTGACAGGACTGTGAGCTGAATCAGGGTTCCCCTGCATCAGTGGGATCAAGGAGTAAGCTCAACCAGGTCTTCTAGTCTGTCCATTTAGTGGCAAATGAAATCATAGGCTTTCAGGTTTATCCCTGGGATGTGATACAAAAGCAAACTGGAAACAATGCTGTTTAACATGTTGGATTCATCATGCAATAAATCTTGGGCAGAGTCTTGCTGTGTGTGTTAAGGAATGTGAACATGTCTATTTCAGCCCCAGTGCTGTGTGTAACCGCGCACCTGGAGACTGTACAGATTAGTATGATGGACCAGGCCTCTTCCCCATCGTTAACTTTATGAGACTATATTTTCATAAATGGAAAAGTTTTTCTTTTAGGAATGATACTTTTAAATGACAGGATATTATATACATTATAGTATAAATTTCTTTATCTAAAATGCCTACATTTCCATAAAATTCTCTCTATATGTACATGTATAAATTATGCATATACATTTGCATTCCTCTTTTTGCTTCACTTTGCCTCAACTCTGAGGTACTCTAATTTATAAGCTTGGGACTCATTAACCTTTGATGGCCACATTAAACTTTGAAATAAACCTCAGTCCATAAATAAAAAAAAATAATTCTCAGCAGTCTTTTTCTGAGCAAGCTGAAATTTCGTAAGGGTAAAAGTTACTATGGATGTATAAAGGGCAATAAGATAATTTTAAATGACAAGATGGTCTTAAAGAAGACAAATGCATATTAAAGAGTAGGACAGTCAATTTAGGATATAGTGCCAAACTAAAATACAAATTAAAATTTATTGCATATTCAGGTATCATTAGAGTCAAGTGAGTTCTCTGGTTTGATACTTTGATTTTGCAAGTTCTAGCTAAACTGCTGCTAAGAATATTTGTTCTCTGTTGCTCTAATTTATGACTGGCAATATTTTCATGTCTTATTTCTCAGTTATTCTGAAATATTGTAGGAAGACCTGCACTCCAAGCAAGACTTCACTCTGACTGTAAAGGTGGGTTGTGTTCTAGTAGCATCTTAGATTGCCACCTTGAGCTGTATAGAACCACCTGTGAAAAGGGTGGGCGGTAATGCCACTTTTCTAAGAGCAATAATCAAACAGGCTACTAATGGATAAAATTGGGTATACTAAAATTAGAAGTCAACAAAGACATAGACTGTCCCTCTGGGCCTTTTCCATGAAAAGTTGATTGGACATTTGAAATTTTGTAAGATGCAAGATTATGTACACATGTTAAAAACAATGGTCTATTGACCGTGCGCATGTTTGGAAATGCGTGTGTTTTTGGTCAAAGTTTCATTCTCTTAAATCAACAAACTGTTATTTCAGGAAGTATCTGGTCCAAGTAGAAGACAACTACATTCAATATTACTGGTATATTCCACTCAAGTGGACCATCAGAGTCAATATATTACTTCAGATTTATTCACTTATGTGATGTGAAAAATAAGGGAAAATAATCTCCTTAACTTGCTAGAATTCCTCCATGTAATGGGACTTGTGCAAAATTTTGGGTATTCTATGTCAAAAAAGCCATAAGGTATATCTAAGAAAGAGCATATTAAAATAGTAGTGGAAGAATATTAACAATGGATTTCAGTTCAGCAAGAGAACAAAGTACCTGGGAAAATCAATAAAAATTAAATTCTAGTGAATTCAACTTAAAATCATTTATAAAAACTTGAATTCCAGCTATTTATTCATCTTTTTGCTACTACCTTCTCAAAAAAGCTGTTGGACTTTAAAAATCTGTTACCGTAATTGTACTTTAGTGAAACCTTCTGTAGCGCTGAGGAAATGAAAAGCCTATTAACATTTATTTTGAAAACAAAATGCCTTTAAATGTTTTATTTATAGATAAAAATATTTCCTGTTTCCTAACCAGAGAAAAAAAAATCCCAAGCCAAACTTCAAGCTTTTTAGAACAGAATCAAAGTTAGAACAGAATCAGAGTTAAAAACAATATTGCACAATGATAATTTGCAGTATAACTCCAACTAGAAAAATAGGTTTACTTTACACCATTCTAATTTTCTGCACTAACATCAAGGTTAAAATATGCCAGATGGTCTACTTACTTTCATTAAGAACTATTATCAAAACTGTTTAACAACAATTCATCATTCTAATTGGTTTTTCTAAGAGTTGATATGGATTATGCAAGACAGAATGATATCCTGAGAGTCAGAATCCAGAGATTCTGCTGTTATCTCAAAACCACACTGGATCCTTACTTTGGGGGGTGAGCATTTGATCTAGACTAGTCCAATGAGCTCCTTTTGGTAGTTTTTCTCCCAAGAGTTTGGGTGTCGAGTAGCGACACAGACAAGCCAAGGACATGGAACAGTGTTGCGGCAGTGTCGGGGTGGAGCACTGCTGAGACCTGGGTCTGGCCTCAGTCCTGGACTGGTTCTTCACTCATTCCTTCAGTTCTCTCAGAAAATTTCGTCTCCCTCACTTTTATCCCTCTACCTGCTACATGAAAACAGCAACAATGAAACATGACTATTATATCAACTTTGTGCCTTAATTTCTGTCTCAAAACTGGGCCACTGGTAGTAAGCATGAACATACTATTTAAAATGTGGTAACCATCTATTTTGTTTTTATTGGTTTTAGCATTAAATATGAGCCATAGAAAAACTGATGTCTTTCTGCAGTTGAGTCAAGTGGAGAATCGGCATTAGGATTTTATTATCTCAGAGAAGAATGCTTTACCTCATCACCTTTCTCCCCAGGTATTCCAGGGTAGCCTCGCTCTCCTTTGGCTCCCTGAAAAGACAGGTAAGTTTAGTGAGTATGCTCAACTACTGTTATCTTCTGAACAACAGAAAACATCTATCAGAACACAGCATAGACAATTGGGAGGGAATCAGGAAACAAAATAATGGTGACATTTCCAAATGGCTTTTTATCTTACCTTCTCAAAATAGGCTTTGTAAAGAAAAGGCATATTTTAGAACAGGGTTTCTTTTTTCACTTTGAACCGAAAATCCCACCGAGGACTTTCTTACCTTTGGCCCCTCTCTGCCTGGGATTCCTGGAGGACCCCGTGGCCCCATATCGCCCTGGAGGACGGAGAAGTTAACAGGACTGAGAATGCTCTCTGGGTGTGTGTGGGGGTGGGCAGCAGAGGGCTTCTTACCTTCTGGGCTAGAGAATCATACTTCCCAGGCTCCCCTGCACCCCCTTCATCTCCTTTGTCGCTTTTCAGCCCAGGGACATTGGCTTGGCAGTTGGCGCAGAAGTTCTAATGAGTATAAAGAGAAGGTTACTAAAAGATTCTTAACCACAATTTACCTCTAAAGAGAGGTTTGACCCGACTTGAAGTCCTGCTTATGCTTTTGTCAGAGAAGTGTGACATAGCAATTGTAAGGTCACTCTGCGTTCAGAAATTTATTTCTTCAATTGGAAAAGATTACTTTTTGGAGGCAAAACTATTTGCAAAGTTCATCAGTGACATCTGTTTATGATACTAGTGAGATTTTATTTTTTAAAAAAGCCTCGGATAATATTTAAATGAAAAAAATCCAAATAAATAAGGAAAAGACCCATAAGTCAAGAACACAGACTGATTTTTCAATTGCTCAGAAGCACATTTAAAGAGAGATGGTATCAAAGCTTAGACTAACCGGCAAGATTACAGAGCTCCTACAACCAGAGGCATATGTCAGTAAAAGACAAAAAGAACAAACTGGCAGGAAAGGATTTCTCATTCTGCACATAAAATGAGTAGGAGAAACCTCCACAGTTTACTAACATTTTGTCAGTGGAAGCACTCACGTGAAGAACAGTTCCCTGAGTGTCTTGGACTTGAATATGATGTCAAATCCAAGAGAAGATAGAAATTTAAATGCAATCACCTTTTCATTGCTTTCTCTGTAACCTTTAGCTATCGTGAAGGCTTGAATTTAAGTGTCTGTGAGCTTGTAAGAAACATAAGTCTTATCACACAGCCATGGAAAAAGTGTCTGTGAAAAGCCCTTATAAGGGCTTACTAATAAGGAATACGAATATGACCCAGAAAGGTGTGGAATGAAGACCTTGAATGGAGGAGACAGTTGAACAGCTGACATAGGTTAGGACAATATAAGCCTCAATTTTTCATCCTTTTCAGTAAAAGGGAGATCAATAAAAGGGATGAAGCTTCTCATTGGTGACAAAGTCCAAGCCTAATCATGTCCAATAGTTTTGACCCAGTGGATAATCAACATAGGTCTAATTCCCAAAAATATGTTCCTCGGAACACTAATTTTATGTGACATTGAGAAGGCTCAGAAGCAAACTGTCTCAAAAATGCTGGATTAAGTAGCTTTCTTCATGGTAAACCTTCTTATAGATTCTGAGTATAAAACAGGGTTTATACTGTTATGAGAGTTATGTGCAACATTTTCCAAACTGCTTTTAGGAACAGAATCATTTCAAAGGACTGATGTATTGGTAGGGGAGTTAAAAATACATATATAATTATACAACTACCACTGACAATTATATATAAAACAAACTGTGAAGATAGGGAAATGCCTGTGGGCTTAAGAACCAAAAGTGTTTCCATATTTCAAAAGCATGGTAAAGATGGATTGTATACATAGACAGGGAATAACAGTGAAAACCTTGGTGTATCAATATGCAGAAACATTTTTGAATTATTTACTTGATAGTTTTAGTAAAATATTAAAAAATGTTAATCATTGTGAGTCAAAGTTTTCCAAGACTCATTGGAAATTGGTCTCATTTTCTTTAGGTTAGGTTCACCAGAATGATAAACTAAGGGAAACTGGATTTAATATTCTTAAAATGACCTAAGATTTTCTTATGCAAAGAATAAAATGCATCAACTCTTAGCCAATGCACAGTGTCATTCAAAGAGGGAGTCACCCCCAGATTAGCCTAGGAGGAGGTCTGAGGCCTTAGTAATTATACCAGCTCCTTTTAATACTGATTCAAAGATATTGAAAACAAAGTGGGGTGATCTAGTTCACTCCAGACTCAAGGTGGAGAGGCCAGGTCAATGTGTTTGGTACCAGTCAGGATAGAACTTTGCATTATCAGATTGACCAACAGACCAACCCCAAACTAAATTCCCGTATCTGGATTTTGGTTTGGAAAACCACAGCCTTCTTTCTTGTCCTACCTGAAGCCCAAGTTACTCCTCTTGTCAGAGCCTGTTCAGTTTTTTTGTCTCCATGAGGAGCCATCTTGTATTCCATCAGCAGATTTCTGATCCTTAATTCTAACTATTCCGAGATGATGCAAGTCACAATTGTATTTCCAACACTACTGCCCTTATGAAGATCTAGGACTTACCGAGGACCTATATTCCTGCGTCAGTGATACATGTCTCAGCTATGTGGCTGAGCAGGTTACTTAATGGCTTGGAACTTCAGGCTTCTCATATATAGGGTAATGCTACAGTGGCTTTAAATTATAGTATTATTGTGAAGATTAAATTTGATTAAGTAAAGCAGTACATTGAATACCACGCTACTGTAACTCAGTAAAAATATAAACTCTTCCTCAAATTCTCCCAAATAGTCTTTTCTATAAGAAAATGTTATTACAGAGATCTTAAAAACTCCTCTAATGTTTACTTATATTCAGATTTCAATTCATGTTTCTGTCTGTTCTCAAAACTCTAATCATGAATACATCCACTAGAATCTTGAGCTTTTGATTGATTCAATTCAATAAATATTTCCGCATGCCTACTACTGTGCAAGTCTTTATGCAAATCATTGGGCATATACACAGCTATAGTTGAGTATGTGTACACTGTCCATCATAAGTCATAGGTATAAAGTAAAGGTGGATTTTCATCTGGATTCAGTCTTAGCATTCCACACAGAAACATACAAATGTATAACCTTCCCATCATTATCAGACCCCTCAGTCTTACTATTAGTTCTTCCATTCATACAGAGAAAATATGGGAAAGTATTAGAAAATTGTAGCAAGATTCATTTTTTATGAGATAGGCAGATACAATTTTCGTTTGACAAAGTAACGGGTGTTACAGCAATTATTGGCTTTGGAATGCTATAGCTTATTTTTGTAAATTTCCACAACATAAAAGCTCTACCTTGTAAGCTGGTTGAACAGCACTGGTTTCATCCTGGGACTGGCCAGGACAGATACACTGAGGAGGGTTAGTTTTCACAGTAGTGAGCTGGTGGGTGAATACCCATGAAGGGAAAGCTGCTGCTCCAGGGGAGAGGAGAAGGAAGCTACTCCATGGTGTTAGCGGTGCTATGACTGCCTGTGACTCTCCTCAGAGCCACCTCCCTCGCCCCACACTCACCCTGGTTAAAAGGGGAGAGTGGAGGAAGCAGTAGAAATAGCACAAGATACGTTATGGCCCATGTTCTTTTGCCATCTGAAAATGGAGTTGTTCAGGCTAAGCAATTAACTCAATTTCTAGTAAAGAGTTCCTGAGTTTTCCTGGACAATAACTCATGATTTCTTACATTACCGTACCTTGAGCAAGGCTCCGATGTCTCCCAAGAGAGGAAGTGCAATCTGGTTAAGGAGAAAAAAACATGAATAAATGCATATGCACAAATACATAAAACTGAAGATATTTCTTCTCAAAATTCATGGCATTTGAGATTGGGAAACAAGGCTTCTAGAGCCTATCAGGATTACTGGGGTAACATGTTTCATGTTAGAAACTGACACCCAGCACCTACATAATTCAGAACTGTTTTGTGGAACATCCACTATTCCTCCAGCATGAACACAAAAACTCATACATACTGTTTTGATTCTGCATCTATATTTTCATGACATGGAAACTGTTATGCTTTCCCTTCGACATTATCGGTTTTAAGTAACAAAGACAAGTCCGTTATTAAAAGGAAATCACTTCACTGACAAGCACATTATCAAGCTGTTGAGAGATATGAAGCGTATAAGGTAAGTCGGGCTTGAAGTTGGCTCTCACAGAAGTTCCAAAGTGCTCTAAGTTGGCTTAGAGATAAGATAAGACAGGCAGTGAGGGAAGTGGGACTATGTTTGGGCCATACATTTTACGATGTCCTAAGCCTGAGTTACACTTTCCAACATTCAAAAATGGTGCACACAGCAGTCCCTGCAGTGGGGCTGAGTGAGTTAGGCCAGAATATGCCTTTGCATCAGGTTTATAAAGGCACACAAGGCCCACATAGTGCGGGAGGCAGAAAGGATTTGTGGAGTTTAGAACTGAGGCTAGATTTGGATTTTATTTTATAAAACTCTTAATATAATGTCATGTTTCATATGGCCTCTCAAATTGCAATTACCAAAGCTGAGCCTACTTAAAGGGATTTCACTATCAAAGCAAGGTTGAACCTAAAATAAAACTTTGGAACACACGATTAGTACCTAAACTCATTTTCTAAGAGTCTACTCAAGGCAGTTTTTATGATTTAATCATCATAGCTTTTTAAACAATCAATGGACATGTGCTGTATCGCAGGTAACTTACCTGTGATCTTTCACTTTGAAAAAATTCATTTAGTCACTAGCATTAGAAAAAATAGAAACTGAGGGGGTATATATTTTATCTCAATTTCCATGGAACTGAGACATTATATGCTATGACTTGGCCTGGGGCAAAATTGTACAGCTGAATTATACCCTTAGAAAATAAGCATCACACACACACAACTGCTGACACAGCTTGAATTTGTTTTCCCTCTAAAATAATGGGGATAAACAAAATCAAGCAGTCACTGAGCATTCTAATAGTTTGAACACCAAAATTTGCTTGGTAGTCTGTTTGGCTTCTGGGTACATTAAAGATATATAAATCAGGTGATGTCTGTCTACATACCGGATCACCTGGGGGGCCTGGCAGGCCTGGCTTTCCATCCCTCCCTGGAGCTCCCTGAAAACAGAGGCGGCATGTTCAAATCCTTACAAGATGCTACGTGTGCAGATTAAAGTCAGTGTGAAGTAGGGTAGGTAAAGAAAGTCCTTACATCATTCCCTGGAGTTCCTGGCAACCCAGGAAGACCCCGAGGACCCTGGAAGAGGAAGAAAATGAAAACAGTTACTTAAGAGGACAGTTCCTCTAATTTCCCCCGAGAAGGCAAGCTAGATTTGTTGTTCTGAATAACTTGGTTAAGTAGTTTACCTGCACACCTGGCTCTCCAGCTGGACCTTGGGAACCCTGGATAAAATGAGACACAATCATCAGAATCCACCAGCAATGCCTGGAGACTAAGTGTTGTAATTTGCTTAGTGGAACAACAGCAATTTCCAACATGCACACTCTGAAAATTCTCTAAAGCTGGCCATAACCCAACATCTGTTGCTGGAAATACCTTGGTTTTGCTCAGACACCTGGGATCTGACTCTTTTTCCATCACATATGGCTGCCTACGAGTGGCTGTGCAAACAATGCACCCAAATTTCATTCAACCTGAAACCCACTGCCCATTGCATTAGCTGGCCCATGGCTTCCTTTCTTCTGTCTACTCTGCATCATTTCTTGCTTTGAAGGAAGAGCCAGCACCACTGTTTAGTGACAGGAGTAGGAAGTAAAGCATCATCAGTTATTTTCTCTTTTTAGAAAATTTGAATTTAGAGTACTAAAAATGAGGCTGAGATGATGTGAAAACCCCAATTCCATTAGTCCTTTCCCTATCATATATCCCAGGACCACTGAAATAGGAATTTAAAACCTAATCCAGTCAAGACCTGTAACTGCTCACTGGTTTTCCTTTGTTTTTAAAAATAAATATATTGGTGATATTGTCAAAGCCTTTGATTCCTATCTATACTGCACCTCTATGTGAGTTTTTTTTCAACTCATTACTTCCTTAATAAATTCCTAATATTTTTTACTTTTAAAAATTTTCTGTCTTCAATAGTCTTCTATATTTTGGCTGCTGTGGTTTCAGTGTGGCCCCCTAGAGTTCATGTGTTAGATGATTGATACTCAAATTCATGTGTTCATATGATTTGGAGGTGGGATCATGACTGGGATTCCGCTGATGGCATTACGTAAAAAGAAGAGCGGTCCGAGCTAGAAGCCAGCTGTGCTCACCATGTGATGCTTCCAGTTGTGTTATGTTGTAGCAAGAAGGCCCTCCCAGGGCTGGAATCACGCTTTCGGACTCTCTAGCCTCCAGAACCATGAGCCAAACATACTTTTATTCTTAATAAATTACCCAGTCCCAGTATTTTGTTATAGCAACTGAAAATGAACTAAAACATTTGCCCTGAAAAAATCAAATGCCAATCGTACATAACATAATCCATGGCTGCTTATGCTTTTTTTAACTTTCATGATCAATACAAGCTTGTGATATATAGGGATATAATAAACATACTTGGTCTCTAGAGCCTCCTGGTTCCTATCACAGATCCAAATCCCTATAATTTCCTTTGCAGTAGGGTTGTGAGGAGAAATGTTTTCTAATATTTGGCCTTTGATTCTGGTTCCTGACACAGAACTCCTAGTGTCTTGGTGTTTCCTAGGTCATAGGAGTGCTTTTTGTTCTAATGAGATGAATTTTTACACATATTCCAGTCACTTAAAATATTAACTTGGTTTATGTTAATTAGAAACAAGCATCTATATTTAATAATTTTATATTAGCATAAAATCTTGCAAGCATGTGCTTATATTTTTAGAACACATAGATGTATAAAGGGTGAAATGGTTACTTCTAATGTAAAGCCCGTGCGTCTGGGACCAGACTCTAATTCAGCAACCAGTGACTCTTGGCTGTACTTAGTGAAGTAGCGTCTTGGCCAGCATCCCCTCTGAGTAGTGTTTGCTGGCATTTCCGCCCCTCACTTGTTCATTCTTTTCTCCTTATTAAGACTCAACATTGGAATTTGCTCCATAATATTAGAATCAACAGTGTTTCAAGAGCTAGAATGGATCTCACCGTTCTGCCGGGAATCCCCATCCCTGGCTGGCCTGCATCACCGGGGGAACCCTGGACACCGGGCAGTCCTCTCTCTCCCTGGGAAATGAGGTGCTTCTGTCAGTGCAAGGTTCAAAAGACACAAATTTTCTGTTATACTTTTTATTCATTCATTCATTTAAAATTAGCTGTATTTTTATACCTTTGGCCCACGTGGACCAGGTGCTCCAGGATTTCCATCTAAACCCTAAAAGAAAAAAAAGGTAAATACATTTCTTTTTCTAAAAACTTCAAAATATTTTACAAGTCATAACTTAAAAATTGTTCATTGCATTTCATTTCACTTGAATAAGCTGCCTTCTGAGAATAGAACAAGGAATAAGGAACAAATTTCTATAGGTTATACATCTTATAGTTACTTTAAAATATGAAGTTTCTAGCTATATGATGAAACGTCTGTCATTCTGAACTACTGTTATTATCATGTAAAAGGTTCAAAGAGAAGGAGGAAGAAGGCATGGGAAATAGGCATGTGACACTGGAGGTCCAGGTTCTGTGTCCTGGGAAAGTCTGGATCCCAGAGACTTTTTGTAAATGACAACCTATGGCAACATCTGCGAAGGGAAGTGTCAGGCAGTTCTGCTTTAAGGTCGTGTCCTTGAGCACTTTGGGTCTGAAACCAGTGTCCTGGGATCCAAAGCTCTGGGAGGGATCTATGTACAGGATTCAGGGAGTCCATGACTCAAAACTGTGGCGTGCGTATGTATGTCTTTCAGAAGAGGGCAACTTGCTTGCATTAAAGTTTCTGATCTACAGAATAAGATGCCTCTTTCTTTGGTAGGGCTGAGCTTCTGCTTGTGCTTTGAAACTGGGATCCCACAAGCAGTTACGAATGGATGCTCATGGGAGATACTTGTACTTACAGGGTCTCCTGGCAGGCTCTTCCCTGGAGGACCGGCCTCTCCCTTTGGCCCTGGAAGTCCTGGTGGGCCTACGATGCCCCCTGGGTCTCCCTGAGGAGAACAAGAGGAGCCTGTTGCCTGTTGCTCAGGTTCCCCCCCCGAGAAGTGGGAAGATAGTGGTCTCCACCGTTTCAACTTGTCAGCGTAGGCACTCACTCTCTCAGGAACTTACTAATGCACATTAGACATGGTTCTATTTAAATCTGATTAAATGTTCTATTTAAATCTGATTAAATGTTCTATTTAAATTTAGATTTTGTAGTGAGTAATACATTAGGCAGTATCAAGAAGCATACACACGTGTATAAGTATAGGCCCGAAAGGGCATATCTATCCACAAAGCTTAGAGGGTCGCTACAGTTTCCTTATTTTCTAATGATAATTCAACATTAATATTTCCATGCAGATATCAAGAAACAGGTCCCGAAAGATAAGAGACTGCCTAGGTCTGTGCCGGTTGGGAGCTGTGCCTGGCTCAGAGCCTCCCTCTCTGACCTCTGTGACCACTCCCTCTCTGAGTGAGTGGGCTGTGTCCCAGGCGTTTCCGCACCAGAACCAAGGCTGCTGCAGTGCGCAGCCCTGGGAGCCGCTCTGTGCTGTCCTTTCACTGCTCCCAACCCTTTAGAGCCCTTGGTGTCCTCCTTCTACCTACTTAACATAAAGTAAACAAAATGCAGACCAGACCTTTTCTCCTTTAGTGCCTTGTTTTCCTGGAATACCATGTTCTCCTGGCAAGCCCTGGAAAATTCAGAATAAAATGAGAAGAGCAATGAGAACATCTCTGACTGTAAGGACACTTACATCTGTGAATCTTAGGCAGGAGAAGATAATTTTAACATCTAATCTACAGAGGATGGCTTGGCTTGTTATGGAAAAACAACAGTCAAAAACATGTGGCTTGTTTTCAGTGAGGTTACCTGGATTTAATGCAAAAAACCCCACAACATAAACAAAAAGGAGATCGCAGCAATGTCCCATTCATGGAATTGCCAAGAAGACGGAAGGATGGGAGGTGGTGGTGGCATCTTATCAGGACTCCAAATGACACCAGGGTGACTAGAAAAAAGGCTTTTACTGTGTCTGGGAAGCAGTAGCTCTTTCCTTTTGATTTTATTCTTTTTAGCCCCAGCCATTTCACTTCATCTCACTCCTTGAATATCTTGTGGCTCTGCCTGTGCACCCAGAATTTTCTCCCTTTCCTTAGGTCTTCCCATTAGGCAGCCCTGCAATGCTGCATTAGTTAGCAGGTATAATTGGGGAACAAAAAGGTCTGCTGTGAACAGGAGGTTCAAAGTGCCAAAGAGAAGGTGAGCGCTGAACAGTTGACCCTGGAGGCTCAGGCAGTGAGCAGGGAAGGCAGAGAAAGAGGTCATGAGGCTGCTCACAAGACGATGGAAAAAGGAGACTCTAAGGTGGCCTTGAGGGAACCCTGTGATCCAGTGGTGATCATTTCAAGAAGTTGTAGCTCAGTATTTTTGTCATTTTCTCAGATGTGAGCTGATGGTGAGCTCTCAGCTCTCCCTCTTGTCAGAAGGCTAGGGAGGTTGTCCAAAGGACAGAGTGTGGAGGAGGAGGAGGAGGAGGAGGAGAGACAGAGAGACAGAGAGACAGAGAGAGACAGACAGACAGACAGCAGATACTTTCAGCCAAAGGACTTGCTTTCTAAGGAAGGCTCTTGCTAAAGAAACAACAAAAGTTTTCGAAGTGTTTTTCCTTTCATGGAGATTTGAACCAAAAGCCATGCATATTGGAAATGTTTGCTTTTTCTCTTGGTTTTCCTTGTTTCATGATTTCAGTCTCTTCTACTACAGGTACAAACAATGCTGACAAGCATGTCCAGAATGATAATTTAGGTAACTTGAGTTTCAAAGACCAACTTGTTAGGCTAATGATACTCAGAGTTCCTCCTATGAAGACCTGGAGGGATTTGCCTTCCCAATAGCCCTGATGTGAAGTGTGACCAGTTTCAGTGGTCGAAGTGAGCCATGTCTTTGGGATAACTCAGGTACATAAACAGACATGGATATTCTTTTAAACATATCTTAGTTTCAATTTCATTTAAAAATATTGAAGACACTGTACATACAACATCTCCTGGTGGTCCTCTGGGTCCCATGGAACCTGCAGGTCCTTGCTGACCCTAAACCAAAGGGTGATATATGCTTTTTAAGTTTGCTTTAAAAATAGACTATACTTAAATATTTGTAATCTGCTTTACCCAATGGTTGGGGACACTCCCCCCATCTCTCCCATGCTTCTCCATAACTTCTTTTTTGGGGACACTTCTGTGGAACTGCACATGGGAAACACAAGCACCTCAGGGCTGCCTAATTTTGGTTCAGCAACAGAATACTGAATCATATCCCTGTTAAGAAAACGGCTCAAGGTCATAGATATAGCTGATGTTTATTCTTAAAACTTTCAGGGATACTATTGTGAATATAGTCTGAAAAATAATTTTTAAATCCTATTGTGAACCAAGAAGCCCAATTACTATGTTTGTAATAAACGCAGCCAGTGTGAGGAAATCACTATGGAAACAAGATAAATCTCAGAACATCTGTGAAGAAAATGAGTGGCACACCAAAGCACCTTTAAAAATACAGAATGGCTATGATTCCCAAATTATTTCCTAATATAACTTAGTGGCTTCTTATATACCTTTAGTCCTGGGCTTCCTATTAAACCAGGTGGACCAGGGTCTCCAGGTTCTCCCTAAGCATATGAGTGGGAAAGAAAGTTAAATGTTACTATAATTTTCACAATTGGGCCAGGGATTTAGTTCAGTGGTTCTGCCGCCTGCCCCGCAAGCACAAGGAACCATGTTTGATCCTCAGTACCAAAAAAAAAAACAAACCCCCAAACCAAAAAAACTAAGACTATAATTTTCACAATCTCATTAAGGCTGTAGGTGGAATTGAAAAATGCCAGAATATTACCTTTATTCCCTGTGATCCCATTAGCCCAGGTTCTCCCTGTAAATAAAATAATCACCATATGGGTAACAGATAAATTCAGATGACACTGAGTGTCTGATACTTTAATAACATTTCCACTGATTAACATACAACAGGGGGAAATTATGGAAGAGATGATGAAATCAAGGCGGATTCATTCCAAACCATGAATCAAAACACTTATCATTATTATAATTTGGCATGTTCTTTATAATAATAATTTGTCATGTTCTTTCTTTATCATAGTTTTTTCCCAATAGCATTTAAAACATCTATTAGCAATTCTCTGCTTAGTGGACACCATTGTTATGATTTGTCATCAACTATAGTAAGTCCCCGAACATTCAAGTTGCAAATTTTCACAGGTGTACTGTATCAGACTCACTTTGTCAGATTATGAATGAATCTGACTTACAAATGTTCTGCTGGAACAGAACTTGTTCATGAGTAATCTTATTTCTCAGAGAATTAAAATGTCAACTGAGGGACAGGAGAATAGAATTTAAGGTGATACGTGTTTGTGATTCTACTGTTAGGTACTATGTAGGTACTTAATTTGTTTAAAAAGCAGAAAAAATTAAGGTCATACAAAAGAGGACAATGTTGGCTATAATGAGTTTTCTTTTCATGACTCAATCTGTTGGATAAATCTCATTTATGTCATTAGCAGAACTGTTGAAAAAATGGTATCTTCTATTTTAATTTTGTAGTTTAAGAGTCCTAACTGGATGTCTTTTCTAACACTCATGGCCAATCACTAATAGAAATGGGTTAAAGAAAGCACAAATAAGCCAAACCAATGTTAAAGTATTATCACATGACAGCATTTAGCAAGGTTTAAAGTGGAAGAGTAAAAAGTCACAGACGAAAAAGTTAAATACTTGGGAATCTTACTTTATCAAATCTATTAGGCTTTAAGGTAAATAAAAGAGAAATCAATGAAGTAGAAAACCCAAGACAGTGATAAAACATCTACTTACTCTATCTCCCTTTTCACCTTTTATAAGAGGTTCCCCCTAGGAAAATGGGTTGAAAGCAGAATCAATTATAAACAGGATTAGAAATGAACTCTCCACAGCTGGGTGTAGAGAAATACTACATGCCAAACTCAGAGCACAACTGCATACTGTCTGCTTTTGTAGCTGCAGTGTACGGGAGTATGTGATAACTAATTTACAAACTCCTTCATATTTCCAAGTGAACACTGAGTTAATTATTCCAATGCTATTTGGAGAATCCTGAGCAGGTGACAAGTTGACATGCCGCCTGTGGCCAAGTCTTCCTATTGTCTGATGAAGATGATCACATATAAACATGTGCTATCAGGGAAAGAATAAGTATAGCAATGAAATGGTAAATGGAAAGTTGTTCACTGAATTCTTCCAGTTGGCTACTTATGTGCCTAAACATACAAAATCATCATTTTAATACTTTTTTAGTTTTCATTTTTACTTTAATGAAAATGATTTGGAGGGGTTAATTACTGAGTAAAAAGCAGTGCAAATGTTTGGAACTGCTAATGGTTCCCATTGGGCTCAGGTACAAAAATTCTGGGGAGAGATGAAGGGTTGGGGGAACCCACTTATGAACCAACTCTCCTTATCATTCTTGAGTTATTCCTCCCACAGTCCAGCCTCTGCAGCACATATGCACATGGGCTCTCCCTTACCAGCGCATGGTTTCATTTTCAAAACGTATTAGTGTCCCATTTAAGGATGAAGAAAGAGACTCAGAAAGGTTAAAGAAACGGTTTCCTTTGCTTCCCTAAAATAGCCTTCATCCCACTTTATATTTCCTTGTTTATCCTAGCCACAAACTCTGTGAGTGTAAGGATAAAATTCATTGACAATCACAGCATCTCTGGTGTCTCAGACTGACATTTACATTCTTGACATCTAATTAAAGTTTATTAAAATTGTTAATTCAAAGTGATATAGATATAATAACAATAATTAACATCAAATTCTTGACAATGTATTAAGCACTGTTCTAATCACTTTATGTACCTGAACATAGCTAACCCTCAGGTAACACCAGTAGGGTAGGTGCTATGTATGAGGTGGAAACTGGCACAGAGAAGTTAAATAAGCTCTGGGCAAAGTGGCGCATGCCTGTGATCACAGTGCTCTGGGAGGCTGAGGGAAGAAATTACAATTTTAAGTGCAGCCTAGGCAACTTAGCTCTGTCTCAAAAAAAAAAAAAAAGTAAAGGGCTAAGGATGTAGCTCAGTGCAAAGGCCTTGGCTTCAATTCCCAGTACTGCAAAAAAAATTTTTTTTTCTCTGAGGAAAGAGTGCTATTTGCAGTCTATTTGTGGGAGGCAAGTGGTGCTAAATGATCTTCTGCGCTTTTCCCACTTGACCTATCTACTAGAGATGATGGGTGGAACCTTCCTCCTCCCTCCCACATTTCCCAGGTCCCGTGCAGTTATATAGGGCCACGTAGCTAATTCTGGCCATGAAATGTCACCAGCAATGACCTGTGGTAGTTGCGAGCTGAGTTCTTCAGTCCTACTTTCCCTACAGTGTGACTGAGAACATTCTACACACCAGATGACGCAGCTATGGGATGGTATCAGCCCCAGGATGGACCCCTCCCAGCTGAACCATCTGGGCATGTAGCATAAACAAGAGATGACCTTTTTTTGGCCTAAGAAAAGAAATTTCAGGGTTGATTTGTTAATCAGAATAACCTTACCTACACTGACCAATACACTCTATATCTACCCAACATGATTATTCTTTTATTATTGGTTAATTTCTCTCTAGATTAGGGCTTTATATTTTTGCTTTTTGGGCCTCCTCCTAAAACAACTATTTAATTTTTAAGATTTAAAATAACTAGATGTGAGCAATGGGCCACATTGCTTATATTACTGCTTATTTCTGCTTCTATTATACTAGCTGTGCCACTGCTTGCTTCAAGTCACTGTTAAGGTAAAAATCCACATTGATTAAAAAGTTTGTAGAAGAAGAATCCATAGGCCTTCTTGAATACAGACTTCATATTTAGTCCAAGCTCCAGTGGTTACTATCTGGGACAAGTCAAACTTTTAGATCCCCTCTTCCTTTATCCATAAAATCAGGGGTTCAACTTAGAGCTGATCTCTAAGTATGTGTTTGCTCAGATTTATTGCACACCTAGTCACAATCTAAATGCCCAGCAGTTGGGACAAATTGCCATTTTGGAGCTGCCATTTGGATCAGTGGTTCAGATTTCAACTTTGGATACTGACTACTCTTCTGTTTTGGCCTTCTGCTTATTACACAGAGCTCAGCATAGATCCTGTTCTGGAACGGAAAGGTTAGTACCATGTAGAACAAACAGCTTTGCATAATAACATAAATTTTGTGCTTTTGTATGTGAGGGGGGAGAAGGCAGGCAAGCAAAGATATGTAGAGGAGGCGGATCATTAAGGGATGAAGACAGAATGGCCAAGGAGAAGCATTAGGAGGAAAATCCTCTCGTTTCTCTAGGATAAGGAAGACCGGTTAAAGCTGTCCTTGTGCAGTAGGCTGGCACCCTCTGAACACTGGTAGTGGGAGAGAAAGCCAGAGAAAATCCCTCAGGAGGGAAAGGCCTCTCAGCCTAGGAACCATGAAATCCTCCAATCCTGGCTTCTCAGCACACCGTCTGTGAACATCAGCACTGGCTTCATCTAGGGGCTGGTGAGAATCGCCAGCCTCCAAAGCAGACCGAGACCCACTGAGCTGGGATCCACATGACTCAAGTACATGTTTACCTTTGAGAAACCCTGTTCTAACTGGGAGAAACTTTCTATTTTCTGCTCCATGACTCTCTGCTTTTCTAGTGGAATCTTACTGCCAAGTGCTCAACATTTCCCACAGAAGTTAAGAGAAAGTGGGTGAATGAGTGTCAGTGTTCAGGTGGGGAGGAGACACCATGGAGGCCTGGAGCCACATCTGGAAGATGGTGGGACACTTTCCACCAGTAGTAAGTGGGCAGGTGGAAAGGGGAGCAACCCTTGGCAGCACTTTACTTCCAGGATGTTCCTGAAAATCTGCTAGGAAAGACTCAGATGCTGGTTACAGCGGGGAGGCTTGAACTGGACACTCAGCAAGTGTGGCCCTGGAAGGCTGAATGATGGGGCGCACAGGTGCCCGAGAAAACTGCACGAGAAAAACCACTGTCACCATAAAAATGCCTAAGCACTGAAGCTGAAGCAAAGGGAAAATTTGGCTTTGTGACATATACTTTTACTATTATTTGTGTTTGCCATTCAAGCATCAGTGACCTCTTCATTCTTTATCCCCTGGTAAACCAATATCCCTAATCCACACTGGCAAGGAAATAGGTAAAAGTGACTTAAAAAGATGCATTACATTTTTGTAGAAAACCAAATATGAAATATATGCTAATCCTGATTTTTTAAAAACATCTCGATTCTTGCTAATTCTTGGAGGCTGTTTTTTTTTTTTTATGAGCAGCATTAAATAAAAAAGTTGTTATTGTAAGTAGGCTTTCTTAATCTCTTTAGGTGGTCCTATTTGAATATAAATGATGTAGTAGGGTATTTTTCTTTTTCTGTACCAAAAGAGCTAAGTTTTACAAGCAATGTGGCATAGCAATGTTGAAAAGTGGCCTGGGAAGTCACTTTGACCTTACAAAAACCAAAAAAGAAAATAATCTCAGCAGGTGAACTGAGACCAGTTGTTTGAGAATATTATGAATTTTTCCATATTTTTAGATAAATTCATACCAGTGTTCTGGTATATTCTGTTGTTCATTTCAGATATGGTATTTAGTTGTAGCAGAGTGACGTAGTGATTTTTAAATCCTAGGTTCCAGAATCAGCCCACCAAGGCGTGAGGCATGGCTCAAAGACTTACGGGCTATGTGACCATGGGCAAGTTGCTTAACTTCTGTGTCCCTCACTTTTCTCCTCTGAAGACAAGGAGTGGGAATGTCTTAGTCTGTGGATACTTAATGGATTAAGTTAGTTAATACAGGTAAAGGTTCTGGATACAGCATACACTTCCTTACGTGACCTAGTATGCACCACAACAGGGTCAACCATGGCGTATGAAATTGGGGCTGATCTGGAAAAGTATTTTAATTCTATTTTTGGGATAGTCTTTCTCTGCCCTCAAATCTCAAATACTTACAGGTTCTCCTTTTTGTCCTTGGCCAAGAAACTCTGGAAATACTGAAAGTCCAGTTTCACCCTGTTAAGGAAAAGCAGGAGGGAGATTTTGTAGGAGGTTTGACAAGTGCTGTATGGTCCAGAGTGACCACTCCCCAGTGACCACGGTGCGTCTGCTGGCATCTGAAGCTCAGTTCTGCTTCCAGTTAGGCTGCTGGCATAACAATATATTGTCAGCAATTCCCAGTGCCTTTAGAAATCCAGAGCATTTCATCATGATATTTACAATTAATATGAAACAATGCAAATTAATTTTAAGGAAAGAACACCTAGAGGAGAAAATGTGGTATACCCCCCAAAATTTTTGTGTGTGTGATTTCAGACATCAGATTGTTAGGTGACACAGTCATCCAGACTCCTCTTATTTCAGACACTACTTTTCTTTCTGTAGACGATGGGGGGAGTCCGTAGTCATAGGGAGAAGAGTGAGACACCATTTTTACAGCTGCTCAGATCCTGGCTCCTGACAGAAGGAGCTGTTGTCCATGAGGTCACAGCAGCAGCTTATAAGTGTCTGAGACGTTCTGTTCAGAAATCTTGAAGTAGGATTTCTATGTGACATACACAGAATATTTTCAGAAGATACAATTTGAGGGAGAATACTTTAGGAAGGAATTCTATCCCTAATTGGACTCCAGAGGAGTCTCAGCATTCTGCCTTCTTGTAGCATTTACCAAGCTCACCGATAACCACCTACTTCTTAAACTGAACACAGCCATTGACAGATACATAACTATATATTTTTCCCAGCCTCAAGGGCATTTTTGTAAAATGATATTCAGCATGACACTTCTGGACATTTTTTCTTGCCTACCTTGTCTTTCTTTTTATTTTAAAAACACGATAAACAAAATACAACAAACCTTCCTAAGAACCAAGCACTCAAGATGAAAGAAATTAAAAAATTTACAATCAAAGAAGAAATGCTCTATAATTTCTTTCTATTCTCATCCTGGGCATGGGAGGCACTTTCATGGATTTGCCATTTGTCTTTCAGTTCATACTTTTGTATTTTTGCAGCATATGTGGAATCATAAACACTATTTGATTCTGAATATTTTAAACAAATTCCACTATTAGGTTCATCTGTTATACAATACTCTCTGACTTCTTGTTTTCACTCAGTTTTTGTTTTTTAAGGAACCCATCTGTCATGGTACCCATGATTGTGATCCAGCCTAATGTGCCGATGCTCCAGGCTGACACCATGGGTCACCTCTAGCTTTTCTCTGCTCTACACAGAGTGCAGTAAACCGCGTTTATCCTGTCCCCATGGGTGTGTATTGTGTGTGCCCATCTGTTTATTTGAAGCCTTTTATACCTCAAAGTACTTCAAATACACATTAATTACAATCCTAAAGTCTTTGACTTATTTCTACGTTTCTGTCATAATACATATTTTGGGATTTTTATAAAAGAGATAACTATGACCATTTAAAGAAATCATTCTTCTAGAATTATGGAATGTATTTTGGAAGTATAATTGTGAATTTTTAAAATATTTTAAAACGTAGTAAAACAAATATTTTAAAACTTAATTTTTCATATTACCAAGCTCTTAGACAGTGATACCAAAGCCAATTGTGGCAGAGTGAAGGAATCAAAGAGAAGAAAAGTCAATTCACAGACTTGTTAGTATGAGTGGTATACACAGAGTTTGGTCATCTGTATATCAAACTGCATAATTTTTGCTATGTCCACATACCACCTATGCATTAATAGCTTAATTTTTAATTTTTCTCTAGATTTTCTCATATTTTAAAGATTTTAAATTTCAGTATGTAATATGTTCTTTTACATACTACCCAAGAAATTTAGTATGCTGGATATGTATTTTTGTACTAATACAAAGCAAATTACAGAAGCATTTATCCTTCTAGCATCTAAACATTTAGTGAATTCTCAGTCTTATACTCACTGCATTGCAGGAAAAGTCATTTTTCTTTTTCTGTAGAGCAGTAAATTGTATCCAAAGTAAGAAGAAAAGGAAGTTATTGCATACTTTAAGGTACCTATTGTTGTGAGTGAAAGAAGGAATAAACAATTGTTCTGTTTAAGCATTAAAAGGACGTTCCTGATACCCACAAGGTAGGGGCTAAAATCCCTGGTGCTAAAATTCCTGTGTGAAGGAAAATTATGCTTACTAACTAGACTCACCTAATAAAATAAAAGTAGAAAGCAGGAAAAAGGTCTATAAGTGACTTATAAAAATAACATCTGCCCCACATCAAAGACAGAGGGCAGAAGAATTTCCACAGAGGAGTAAGACAAATTATATATACTCTTAGATGCTATATTTTTTGAACCAATATAAATGGAACTCAGGTGAGACCTAGAGGAAGGCCTGGACAGAGGTGGCTCTTGTCTGGAGGGTCTGGGCTTGGAAGGAACCTTGGCCTTCATGTAAAATCTGCAAACAAAAGCATCTACATCCAAATCTCAGACACCTATGGTTGTTTCCATATTTAAAATGGATATTCAATGACTGATCATTGTGGGCATGAGGTGGTGAATTTATTAGGCGTCAGGAAAGACTATTCTTCAGTTGGACACCTGTGATGCTATTTAAAAAGCCATGAGCTGTAGAGACTGCATCCTGTCCCCTTGACAATCTACTCATAAAGACCCCTGCTGTTTCCTTATTCTGCCTCCTTGTTCCACTGACTATAAAGCAGCCGGTCTCCTCAGGCATTTTGCAAATCCACGATCTCATTCACTATCTCCTTTTCTTCTCAGGGCAGATCAGGAACTGTCATTTTAGTCCTGGTAGACTGACTTCACATGGGCAAGATGGCCTCCCTTGCCATTCACTGTTAATCCTCTGTCCTCATGTCCCTGGGTGCTTCTCCTGGTCTCCTGTTCTCCATATCGGATATGGCTGTTAAAGTGGAAGTGATCTGTATGCATCTCCAAAGGCTGTCTGTGGTTGTTCAGGTGCCTCTTTTGTGATGCTGGATTCCAAATGTTAGGCTGTTTTTATGATTTTATTTTGGTGGTCAGGGAATAGAGGAGTGGCATATTATACAGCAATGCTAAGATATCTGTGTTTCAATTGTACTTTGACTTAACTTCTCCTGCAACACAAGTTGAGATCCTTCTTTGTAGGAATTATGCCAGAGGATGCAAAGAGAAGCAAGATAAGGTGGTAAGGATGCTGACAATCAACACCAAAAAGAGCTGAGACCTCAAGAGAAGAAAGAAAGTATAAGGTGGGTGAACAGAAGAGTACAATCTTCAGTGACAGTTAATATAACAGGAATGGCACCTTGGGAAAAGTTTCTCTCATCTGATGTTAATCCTCCCATTAGCTCTTTGCTTGGACTCAGCCATGCCCATTTTATAGATGAGAGGGCTGAGGCTTAAAGAGGAAAGTGGCTTTCCCAGAGTGACACAACTATGAGTCCCACAATCAACTGTGGATTGCAAAGCCTACGCTTTTCCCAGCATTTAATGGTTCTCACTGTGGTGGCATATTAGAACCATCTGAAGCACTTTAAAATAATGGAGATATCTCCCCCGACCCAGAAATCCAAGTTTGTGTGGGCCGAGGATTGAGCACAGGTAGTTCTAATGGTGCAGTGGGGGCTCGGACCCATGGAGCCCCACCCATGCACAAGCAGAGGCCTACAAGTGAGGTTTGGGGAAGCTGCCACTTGATTCTGGTGACCCATGAACAACATCATAATCTTAAAAACTAATATATTCATCCAGAATAGAAACAAAGTGGTGTGGATGAGTTGATTTCACTCTTCTAGTAGTTCGGCAGTCTTTCCCGTTATTTATAATTTAAAAAAAATCCTTTCATGTGTATGTTTATATCAAGTACCACATCAAGTTCCCTGGAGACTCTTTTAGGTTATTTATTTTGGTAGGAGGAGGGAACAATTATGTCACTGGCTTATTCTAATTCCACTTAAGATTCTGAAGCAATTAGAAAAGATTCTGAGCAATAACAAAGGTTCTCAGAGTTTGAAATACACCTGTTTTACAGAATCAAATTTCTCATCAGTGAGGTCTTAAGAATTCCTAAGTGACATGTGTTTCCTAATGAACATAGCAGAGGAGAACCCAGCTGTCTTGTTTTGAGAAATGAATCATCATTTCAATGTTTTAAAAGTGTCACAACTCCCTTCTTTGCTCAGCTGTCCTATGTGAAGCTTTGTGGCCTTTTTTTCTTTTATTTCTTCCCCTTGCCCGCATATGTTCAGTAATAATTGCTGAAAATGTGATGCATTTGTTATGGCAGAATATGGTTTATATAACTTCTTGGAATACAGGAAATAGTGCAAATGCAAAAGCAGTAAAATCTAAGACATACAAATGACTTACACTGCTGTATCATCTTTTGCTTTTTAATCTGTTTCAGAGTGTCAAGGTTTTATTTATTTAGTTATTAGCAGAAAATTTCATTTTCAATGGTCAATCTATAAGAAAGTTTTCTTTTCCATAGAGACTATCTTTAAGAAGTATTTTCTGGTGAGAGATGTATGATCTTTTGAATAGATTGGTTGTGCAGATTTATAAGGCACAGAAGTCATATGTCAAAATACCTTGTCCTTAATCGGGACAATTTTTACTGGGTGAATGAAGGAAGCACTTCCAGGCCACCCTCCCTCGGAGTATTTTCAGATCTACTCATCTCTGTCTGTAGGTTTGCTGTGCATTATTATTTTTCTTGACAATGCTACATTCACAGTGAATCCAAGGTCATCACAATTTTAGAATCAAATGGGAGTGAAACATCTTTTTTAAATAGGAAAGTGACTCTGTCATCTTTACAGCTAATAAAATTAAGCCTATGAATGATGGGAAGGAGAATGCACTGGAAATTCATCAGTGTTTTAATTTAATTTAATTTAATTTTTTTGACTGACACATTACTGTTTTTTTTAATATAATGATAATTGCATTACATTAAGATTTCATACATGGTAAAATATGGACCTTACAATGATCAAAAGTTTCCAGATGTATGTACTTGCTACATGTTGAGGTCAAAATATAAGTTAAGGATTTGGTTTT